CTGGCTCTGAGAGCTCTCGCACGCAGTCCTAGCAACGATGTGTGCGTTAAGATTCATGTGTTCTTGGAGGGAAATGCTATGCAGCCCCGAAGGATTCTAATGCTCAAGCTTGGGATCATCTCATGTAGCCTTTCGTTCCTTCTGCAGCCCATGGCTGCAAGACTTGCGACAGCTGACTTGTGTCCCCTTCAATTGCCCTGCCACCGCACTGGGACCTGTGGCACCGCAAGGCTATGCTGGCAAAAGAAGCCATGAGCTTGAGAGCCGCAGAGCTTGGAAGATGCGCCTGGACAAACCGATTGACGGAGCTCATGAGAGCACCTGGATGATCTAGTGGCAAATTTTGTTGCTCTTAGTACGGCATCAGAATAGGCAACTGGACTTGTAGGACTTGATGGCTGTTCGTTGAGTCTGACGCCAAGTTGACACCAAAAAAGCAACTCTCAAGCATGGGTCTGGCACTTTCGTAAGCAGTAGCAGCTGCTTGAAGCTTTGAACATCACGCGGAAAGTTGTGAGGCAGGCAAGCTCTTGAAGAAGAGCGCAGGGATACAGGATGTGCTTTGTGTCGCTCATTTGCAACAGGTGCTGCGAAATGGACAGGCTCCGTACATACAACAAACTCATTGCGGCGTGCGGGAAGGCGTCGCATTGGCCCCTTGCCCTGTGCTTCCTGCAGGAACTTCAGGCCTGGGTTTAAAAGTTTCACCTGCTGATACATATACCTCTAGTCCGCTGTGACCTAAGTCGCTTGATGGGGACGACGACGATGATGAAGATATGATGAAGAGGAATGCGAGGAAGAAGCACAACAATAACAATGATAGCAACAGCAGGAGCAACAATGATAGTACAGTTGCTGCTGCTGCTGATGATGATGATGATGATGATGATAGTGGTGATGATGATGAACATAGCGGTGATGGGGATTGTGATTGCTACTGCTGATGATGGTGACGACGGTGGTGATGATGACGATGACCATGATTATGATGATGGTTCTGATGATGGCTGCTGTCCTTCAAGCCGTTGTTCTGTCGTATTATCGTATGCTGTCGGTTACTGTGTTTACAATGTTGCTGGCTTAGTCTCCGGATTGCATCATGGGCGCAGATTATGCGGTGGTGGTTCAGCTGCAGGATCTGCAGCTTCAAGGCGACATCATCACATACGGGGCAGCTGTCAGTGCATGTGAGAAGGGAAGCCAATGGACCCTTGCTGTCAGCCTGCTGGAGGACTACAGTTGTGGGGGCATTTGAGGGGGTGATTTTGGCCCAGGGGTTTTGTGTTTTGTGGTTCAGCACGATCTAGAAAGGACAGTTTCTTTGCCAGCGGCATTAGAAATTGCCCCCTCTGTCTTGTAGACTCGTGGACCTCTCACTCCTAGACATGCATTCTATTGCCGCAATGTCGTTAAGCGTGCATCGGCATGCCTAGCGAGCATAGAATAGCGAAGCCCAAGAAAACGAAACCAGAAAGAGCGGCCTAATCCATTGCAAATGGTTGTGGTATACCCATCAGCCAGCCGCGGTACGCCTATCCAAGCTGTAAGGACAACATCCTGCAGCATTAGTTTGGTGACATCACGAGAAGATCCCACCAATGTCGACGCTTTCAGGTGTACTGAACTGATTGTCTTTCTCCTTAAAGACCACTAATCCGCAAGTTGCTTAGTATGAACTAGCAGCAAGCATATTATGAGCTCTAGTCTAAACTCCTTGAAGCACACCGCCTCAAGAAAACCAAGCACACGAGCCTCCAACTTGCAAGTTCGTTGAACTCCATTATGGTGCCTAAAAACTTACTGGTCCTTAGTACGGAACTAGGGAATGCAGTCCCTACATAATCCCCATATAATATATTCCCTTATTCCCCCTACTAGCAGCCCCAAGTATATTCCATTTTCGTTATCCCTAAGTCGGCGTACATTCCCTTATTCCCTACTACACCCCCGTAAGAAAAAGGACTTGGAGGTCATGGATTGCAGGCCCGACTTGATCACGTACAGCAGCGTGGTGCCTTGGCGTCGGAGCGATGAGCCGGGTTCCGGGTCCCTCATTTTGAGTGTTAGTGTTGTTTCATATGCACTTTCTTTGATGGGGATTCTGAGACATATTTGTTTATTCTGAACGCTGTTTGGTGGAAGGCCCTGCAACAGTTGTCCAAGGAATACTTGCAGGAGCGTACGAGGCGATTAGGTGCATAGAGTGTGTGGGCTAGCTCACATGGGCTTGAAAGATAATGTTGACACGGTGGAAGACTTCTCGTCCCTCTCAGAATCTTTGGAGACGATGTTCAACAGCTTGGCAGGGACCCTCAGTTCCTGAGAACAGTTTGACAAGGCCATGGATCTGTACTGCCTGAGTGATTGGTTGGTGATGCGGGTACGTGGAAGCATGTATGTTCCTTGCTTTCACTGCTCCGCGGGCTCAAGCCTAAACCCTTAATTAACGTGCCCTGAAGGCTATGTCCTAAACCACGATACCCACCATCACTGAAACAGCTCAACATCAAGGAAAAGCGTTTCAGCCCACAGAGCTTTCAATCAGGTCAGTGCCTGTGAGAAAGCTGGTGAGTGGGCTTGTGCCGTGTACCTCCTCACACAGCTGCTGAGCGGTAAAGGAGCTTTCTATGCAGTTCCAATCATGGAGATACCCTGGGATTGCAGTTTATGAGGCATTGAATTACAGCATTAAGGAAACCAGCGAATGTGTGCATTGGATCCCAGTTTTCGTAAAAGATGTAAGCCTTTGACAACAACTCAGGTTGGAGTCAAGCCATGTGGCTGCAGATGTCATCATGCACAACGTGCCTCGCTGTTTGAGCGATGAGTTTGAGAAAATCTCAGGGAGTTCGATCGGGAGTGGGTTGAATTTTCGGTTCTTGTAAAGATTCCGCTGCTTGTCAGTAGGAACTGTACTTTAGTGTGGTTCGGAACCCGAATGTACGAACCCTTCACGAGCAGACTCAACGTAGTGATGGTAGAGCTCAGGGCTTCACCCCACGAGCCGCTTGCGGGAAACAATCATATCCCAGGATTTTGAGAAGTGGTTTCGTCTGCAACGAGTCCGCAATATGCGAAAGCTTCCCGAGTTAGGGTCCTGCACTACAATCAGGGTTGCGCATTTGTTTGTACGTAGGACGGCCCGATTTTGGAGCAACAGTCCACGAGGCCGTGATCAGCGCCTGCGCAAGCGGCGAGGAGTGGGAGATGGCCCTCCATCATCTTGCAGCACCCGGGGCTTAGGGTTTAGGACGTAGGGTTGTATACTGCCCCCACCCTACAACAGTCCGCTTTTTCGGAGTTGTAGTAATACTACGCACTTGCACGGGAGCCTAGATGTAGGCTGGGGGCAACATCCAAAGCTGCGGTTTTATGATTGATGCTTCTTTGCCATCCCTCTAGATTAAAGGGACTTTACTGGGAACCCCAAACAGGGAACCCCAAGAATATATAGTAGGAATATAGTAGAATATAAGGACCCTGGCAGGTATATTCCGAGTATATTCCTACTATATTCTTGGGATTCCCAGTAAAGTCCCTCTATAGATTTCAGCACTTCAGTTTTCCTAGAGCTTGAGTTGATGCGTAAGGGAAACAGTAACGGGGACCTAGGTACTGACAGATAAGTGGCTCCTCGGAAGCTCGGCCGCACTGGAGTGATTTAGAGTTTCTCAAGGGTTTACATAGGGTTCATATAGGGCTTATATGGGTGTTATATAGGGATGTAAAACCCAATCATGGAACATAACATGGGAAAGAACATGGAACATGAAATGGAAACTGTGAATATATGGTGGTCTAGGATTTGTCAAAATCAGGGGTACATTTTTGGGAGTCCCAAGAATAGGGGGTCCATAGTGGGGTCCCTATTTAAAGCCTTAAATCCTAAAGAGCAAACCCCAAACCCTAAACCCAAAACCTTAAACCCTAAACCCTAAGGGAAACTATCATTTGTCCCACTTTGCAGCTGTGATTTCATCGGGCCCTTAGGTGGGACTTCAACTTCGACGCCCATTCCTTCAACCCCCCAAAACCCCCAACTCCCTTGGAGTTTAGTTAGTTTAGGGTTTGAGGGTTGTAGGGTTTAGGGGTTTAGGGCTTAAGGGTTCAAGGGTTTCAGAATTTCAGGGTTTAGGGTTTCTTTTGGGGAGGAGCATTGTGTCCTCTTCTGTTAAGGTTTAGGGTGTAGAACTTGTAAGCCCTAAACCAAAATGGACCATCCAGGACCTTTTGCTGTCAATGGCATATTTGCTGGCTGTTAGCAAGAGATGGGTGAATAGATCTCTACAGTAGCCGGTAGTCCCTAATTAATCATTCTCCAAAGCCTAAATCGTACATAATGGTTGCCACTTGTTTCCATTCCCTCATTAAGCCCTAATTGGTAAATAGTAGTTTCCACTTTCCCATGCCGTCCCTGAACTAGTACTTCCCATGGTTCACTCCTCCACGCCCATCTAACTGTAAACTACTAGCAAGTTCCAGGTAGCACCATCACATACAGTGCGGCCATCAGCGCTTGCGAGAGGCGGCATTTGTGCTAGAGTTTCTAGCAGATGCTGTGGAAGCCTGAGGGATGGTCAGTAGTATTCCCTCAGAATGCTTATGCAATTAGAGTACTAACCCATACCCTGTCTTTCATGATCTAGGCCCTTATTACCTAGTTTTCTCATGGAGGCGTATCCTTAATGGACCTGGTACTTGTTGCTTTTGGAAGGTTCATGAAGTAGCGGGGGCTTGGTAGGAGAAGGAGGCGCCCCATTAAGGCATAAGGGCAGGTCCCCGATTTTAAGGCCAGGCATGTAACAGTGTGGTTTGGGGGTCCCAGGTGTCCTTCTCAAAGCTTTGATTCATGTAGGAATTTTCCAAGATGAGGGGTCCCTTCTTGGGGTGAGAATTGTAATGTTCAGGGGTGATATATGCATAAAGACGTTCGGGATCCCCTTACTTGAGAAGACAGGTGCGACCAGTGGCCCAGGGCTTTGCAGCTGCTAGCGGAGATGGAGGAGGGGGGGCCAACAATTGTCAAGAATCCCAGTATCTACAGATTTGTACGGCTTGAATATCACCAGCTGTAGTTTTACGGCTCATTGCTTCCAGCCTTATTCTCAGGATTGATGCCTTTACTTTTGGGACCTCAGCAGAACGGAAAGCTGTAACACACACCCCAAAAGCCTGTTGTTGTGCTTCCATACTCTACTTGGACGGGTACGGCTGCCTATAGAAAGGGTTACCAAAGCTGGACCATTCTAAACCCCCCCAACCCTAAACCTTAAGCCCCACCGCCTAAATCCCTGACCCTAAACCCTAAACCCCATAAGCCCTCAACGCAGAGGCAGTGGAACTTGAGGGAGACTTGATTGCCTTCAGCTCTGCCACTCGACCAAGCGCACGCACAGAAAGTCACTACCCATCATTGCTATTCTTGCTATTACCACTACAGGTATTATTGCTACTGTTAGCACTAGTATACCAATTCCCAAAAAATGGTTGGGCATGTTGAGGGATTAGAGCTGGGCAGTGCCCTTGTGAGCTAAGCCTGTTGCAGGAGCTAAATCAATTCTAGCTCGTCCTTTTTTAGTGCGAATCTGCCTGGTAGTAGGCAATCAGTGCCTGCGAGAAGGCCGGGCAATGGCAGCTGGCTTTGTTGACGTTATGTGAACTGGAAGCCCGGACTGTGCAACAGGATGTGGTGCTTTGCAGTGCAGTCCTCAGCGCCTGTGGCAAGGGCCAACAATGGCAGCGTGCTCTACAACTCCTCAAGGGATTGCCACAGCGCCGGCTTCATGGAAACGTTGTCACCTATGGTGCTGCGATTTCTGCCTGTGCGAAGGGGGAGCAGTGGGAATGGGCCTTGTATTTGTTAGCGTCCCTCGATCATCAGCGTCTTCAAGGAAACCTGATCACGCAGAATGCCGCTTTGCTGGCCTGCGAGGCTGGGGGAGCGTGGCCTCAAACCCTACAGCTGCTTCTGGAAATTCGGACCCAGATCCTAGAGGCAGATCTTCTTACCTACAGCGCTGCCATTGGGGTAGGCGAGAAGGCATCCCGATGGTCCCTGGGGCTTCTGTGGCTTCAGGAGTTTCTTTACTGCCAGCAGTATAATTTGAACTAATTGCCAGTAGACTAAAGTTCTTGACGTTGCCATTTGCTGGTAAAAAGAGGCTGCAGAACATCCGGCTAAAGCAAGACATCATGGCCCGCAACCCTGCCATCGGCGCGTGTGTGGCTGGCAGCAACTGGCAGCTTACACTGAGGATGTTTGCTCACCTTCCACAGGCTCGGGTCAGCTATTCCTGAGAAATGTGCCATCTGGCTGTTCTACCAAAACAGATTTCAAACTGGTAGAATCTTTCTGGGTAGGGTCCTTTGCCATGAAGGCACATAGCTCAATACTTTACGCTGCAGATACCCCCCGCCCCCGATTTGGAAGATGGCATAAACTACGCACTACATAAATACTACAGACTACGTGCATCGTATGTTTCAAATACTAATTTGTAAATAGAGGCGGCCCAATGTCTTGGAACCCTTCCTTCATCTCCGCAAGGACCGTCTGCAGGCAAACGCTGTCACCTATGAGGCAGCCGTGCTGGCAAGCGAGGCAGATGGTGCAGATGGGGTAGAGGGATGCGGGAGGACGCGCAGGCTTTGAGAGCTTGGATTCAGGATTTTGAGTTTGGAGCGTGCGGGGTCTAGGATTTGGAATTCTTCCTGTTTGGCGCTGCGCGCCCTCCAGAAGAAAAAAAGAGTACCTGGGGGATCTAAGAGATGAAGAAGGCTTGTTCAGTAGATGACAAGGCTTTCTGGAATTATTTGCAGGTTTCCTCACATTCTGGGCTTTTCAGAAGTTAGATTAGTCCAGAACTTTTTTGTGAGAGACGGCGGGGGGGAGGGGGGGAGTTGTCTTAAAGAAACTGTAATAGAATCTCAAAACAGGGGACTCCAAGAATATAGCAGGAATGTAATAGGAAACTGCCTACCCGGGTCCTTATATTCCCATTATGTTACTACTGTATTCTTAGGGGTTCTTTTTGGTGGCCCCCATCATGGTCCTTTTAGCTTTCGAGGCCGGAGGCTGCGCCGGCGCGGCCTGCAAGGCTCTGGCAGCAGCAGAGGCTGATGCCATGAGGGTCGGAGGCTGGGGATTCCCAGAGACTAGTAGAAATAATAGCAACAATGATATATGTCATAATAGTACTAGTACTAGCGCGAGTCATAGTAAGAGTAAGAGTAAGAGAAAGAGTAAGAGTAATTGTAAGAGTAAGCCACGGAGGCTGAAGGCAACCTTGAACTCCTCATAGTTCGTGTTTTAGCCTCAGAGACTCAAGAGTGGGAGAATAGGATGATGTCTGTTGAGGGGTTCCCCAGGCGGTGTAAGATTTCCCCTTCATGGTAGCAATCCCTCAGAAACACGTCCTGCTGGGGCGGGGGTAGGTAGAGTTTGTTTCAACCTCTTGGGTCCTAAGTTTCCTAAATCTTAAGCATTCCTCTTTGTCCTGTAGCATGAAGGCAAGGGATTCATGTATGCATCCCGTCCGTCAACTTGACTTTTCCTTTGGTGCGGAGTTTTGTGGTAAGGGAGTTGTACCAACAAAGGACAAAGGCAGGCACAAGTACAATTGGTGGCCATATGGTAGTTGATCAAAGTTCCTGTTCCCCAAGTGACCATTGTGGGAAATGATTTCCGCGATATTTTCCCTGTAGACCTACAGGAGCCCTAAACATTTTCCACAAGAGACGTTTAGATCAACACCCGTATGGGCTCTTTTCAGGACCTGACTTAGGAAAACCTGCCCTCCCCGAATACCCTGCCTACTCCCACCCATCAGAGATTCTTCAAGGTCTAGTTTAAGGTTTTCTGGGTGTTGCACCCTAATTTGAAAGCTGCCCCGTGGTTCAGGATTCCTCCACGGGCCCTGCGTGTGATGGCAAGATAGCAGACACTGAGCGCAGGAGGAAAACGATTCGCATCGGCTGAAAACATTTTTTTTCCGGAAGGTGGGGCGGTGGTGTTGGGCTATAGCCAGTTGCTGTGGAAGTTGCGCCATGCCCGAACATGTAAGAAGAAGGCTGTTTGCAGCTAGGCACAGCAGTCGTACTTCTTGGGCCATAGACTCCACGAAGCTCCAAAGTTATCACCTCGTCAAAAGGGATCCTCTCAGAACTCAGAACCCAATCCCCATAAGGGAAACCCTAAATCCTAAATGCCTATAAGGCTCTGTAAACAACAGCCCATCAAGGCCGCATCAGATTCTCAGCCTGGCATGAAAGAAGTCTTCGGGACCTCATCCAATAAAGCCCTAGGTCCTGAACCCACTGTATCCATTGTAAAGAACATACCCAACAAGCCCCATAGGACTCATTCATCTTATCTCTGGCGTTTCCAGAAAGGCATGTGTAGCTATGGCAGCCTCAGAGCTTATGATTGTAGTCCCCCTTAAGTAGATAGAATATGAGGTAAATTGTTAGGGTTGTATAAGGGTTATATTGGGATAATGGAAAAGAAAATGGAAACTATTACATTATGATATTAGGGTGACAGGCCAACGTTGGCCGAAACGACGCCGTCGCTGCCCCGGCGGCACTCGAAGGCTCACTGAAAGCAGCAGAGATGCCGCGAGGGATCCATCAACTAAATTGCGCTACCCAAAATATTTCTAAACCTCTAGGCCCTTTGTCCTAAAGACTAAGGATTTGAATCTTGGGATTTGACAGGATTCTGCTGATTTGGTTTTTCGTGAGGTGACCACGCTGGCACGAATCGTAAGCTGTCGTAATTGCCTTCACAGTAGAGTCCAGAAAGAATTGCCCCAAGCAGTGCAGGTCTCTTTGCACGGGGAGAGCAGGGACCAAAGGATGATGAGGCCGCCCGTACGCATGGCTTCTTGCCGCTGGCATCATTTGCATGTACTTCAACAACGACCTCTCAATGCTGGCTTACAGCTTTCACTGATTCATGGGTTGCTGCGGCAGGAACCAGAGATAATTCTGGACAAGACGCCAGAAGTGACGAAGGTGCGTCTGAAGCATTCCTCGATGCCTCTAATGGGTGTCTGCCAATGTTCGACAGTTCAAGAGCTCCGCGACCTTTGTGGCTTGCGCAGAATGCAGTGTTTGTTGGCCGCGGCTCACGAAATCAAAGCGACACATGTCACACCACCTTCTACGTCTACGTACACAACCCTGGAAGCAGCAATGTTTCGGGTAACGATAAGAAGCCGTGCACAACAGAATCCTTCAATCTGAGATGCTCCTTCTCCATAGGGGTGCATTACCTCCGTAGTGGATAATCAAATGGAAAAGCCACTGGCTGGAATAACCTGCAAGTAGTTTTTCTCAGACCAGGCTGATGGCGTGGATTCGAAGAAGCGCAAGGCCCTTCAGTACTCATGGCCGCAACTGTGCTTTCTGAGCATGAGTTGCGTTTGTCGCGGGTTCTTACAACAAAAAGCACTCTGTCGTTGGGTAGAAAGTCACGGATGCGTCAGCGTTCTGGATCCTGCCCTCATACAGTATCTCATCCAGTATCGCCTGCGTGCTGCATGAGGGTGTAGCTCTCATCCTGGTAGGGCAGGCGTCCGCCCTCAGAACATCGCGTCGCTAGAAGAAGCAATAGACGTGCTATCGCTGTTGCCAGTACCGTTGTCACTGCAGCTTCTTTTCGGTGGGACTTATTCCCTTACGTACCGTAGAAGTATGACATTGAGAGTGAACTCAGGTGCAGAGGCAAAGCTAGCTTACTGCCCCACCTGCAGGTATTTCAACAAGTGCATGCGTTTCTTTCATATACGTTCTACTCGCATGACACAATCGAACGTGGCTCGACCTAAACTCTACCTCCCCCTTCATGGCAGTCCTGTTGATATGTGTCTTCTTCGACAATCCGATTCCCTCGCGCAGGAAGAAGATATCCTTTCATGATCCCCTGTTCTTACTTCCTGTACTCCCTTCACGTCACACGCACACAAATAAACGCATATAAACTCCACGCATGATGCCAAAAAGCCTGCTCAGACAGCCAGCTCTGGCAAGAAGACCAGCAAGGCATGGCTTCAAAAGTGAGTTTAGGGTTTGGGGTTGAGGGTCCCGGCCCCCCTTGTCAGTTGCACCACTAGCATGGAAACCTTCAGGTGGATAGTTTTCGTATGGGTAGCCTTAAAGAAGGCCAATATAGACTTCCATATTTATATATACATATATATCTAGAGAGAGAGCCCCATCAGCCTGATATGAGCCTTACATGGGGGCACCTACCTGGTAATTCCCCTTCACTCTACTGAGGTCTATTTCCTGATAGTGTTGAGGGATCTTCTAAAGCGTGCTGGCTTGAAGCTTCTTGTTGGTCAGTTCTTATAGTCTTGGGATCCTCATGGGGTGTATTTGTGGAGGTTTTGCTTTGTCAGAGCTGTATTGTTTCTGTAGGTTAGTATATACTGAATCTAGAGTTCTTTTGTACCCCTGCACATAGTCGGACCATTCTTCGAACAGGAGCCTCAAAAACCATCATCTTGGTAGGGCTAGATGTGTTGAGCTCAGGACTGGGCCTAGAAGCAGTCTTGCTTTGTGGTTCGTTCGGAGTGAAAGGATGGCCCAAGAAAGGTTTCACGACTCCATATGGACTCAAACCTACAGAAGTACTGATCGTTCCAAGTGTTTCTGCCCAAGCTTAATACCAGGCAGCATGCAATCACAAATCCTACGCCTTGGGTGTTGCACTTTGCCTTTCCACGCTTGTCAGACTTTGATCCCGCCGTGCGTGTTTGAACAGACACACAGGCGCCCCGGCGCGACGCAGACAAGAAGCAGGCCCTGGCCTTCGTACTGGGTTCCGTACAGGCCTATCTAGGGTCCCGTCTGCGGTCCACATTATAGCACGAGTTTGCAAGGTTGGTTTGGAACCGCAGGACGCGGGGTGCACAGGAGCCTCTATGGTGACGAAAGACGAGTGAGGGTAGCTTTTAGGGCGTGTGATGCGTAAAGGTGCAAAGGAGGGCACGGTGGTCAAGGGCTCGTACTGTGCGCTGAGCTCTTCATCTTCGTGTCTAGTTTCGTGTATCCCATGTCTAATAATTAATAGCCACCAGCGCTGCACCTGTTGTTTCCTATTGCCACTGCGCGAAACGCTGGCATAAACTCACAGGCATGGCCAAGTGGCAGTAGAAAAAATCCTCTGAGGTGGAAACATTTAACACCCCAGCCTTAGTCAGCCTTGAAGCCCCACAAATGACAAGAGGGTTCTGGCAAACTTAACCGCTGGGACGAGAACCCCATGAGAGTAAGAGCCGTATGATAGTCAGAGGGTCCTCACTTAAGGTAGGGTTTTCAACTCTCCTGTATACACGTCATATACGTCCAGTTTCCATTTCATCTTCAGTTTTCTTTCGCATTCGATCGTCCATTCTTACCCTACAGTACTCAAACCCTGTAAATTGTTTTTGGGTTCTTTGTGTCAGTGTATGTCCCCAGGTAAGCTGAAAGCCCTGTAGAACCAATAAAACTACCCTTCAAAGGTAGCTTCTACACCCCAAATCCTTCTATTACAGGAGGGGATTATGCATCATGGATCCCCACCCTAAAGCCCTAAACCCAAACCCTACACCGCAAACCCTCAACCCTAAACCCTGAATCCTAAAACCCTAAAACCCCAAACCTTAACCCCAAACCCTAACTCCCTACAACCCTAGAATCCTAAAACCCTATATAAATCCTAAGCCCCAAAATCCCCTCGTTTCACCATTTTCTCTCAGGCAGCAGCCCCCACTGAACCGGGGCCTGGCCTCAAGAACTTCTTCAGGCATTAGGGGCTTTAGCTTTTTTAGGGGTTCTAAAGGGTGTTTAGGGTGTTTAAAGGTTTTTACGTTTTCATGGTTTTGCGGGTTTGGGTTTTAGGAGTTTTAAGGGATTTAGGGGTGGTAGGCGTTGTAGGGAATGATTTAGGGTTTATGGGCTTAAAAGCTGAGTCGTGGCAAGTTCTCAGAATTCTGAGTTCTTGGGGTTTAGGGAGTTCTCAAACTGTTGAGTGCCTCTTCTGGTTCTATCATGAGAGTTTGCGGGGAAGTATAGATATGTTGATACACGGGGTCAAGGGTTTAGTGCACCAGGACACTAGTTTTGTCAACCACCATTGCAGGCTGTATACCTACCAGTGGACCTAGGTGGGGGCAATATGCGGCAATTTGTGACAAAGTGCTTCTGGGAAATGGGGTTTACGGAGGCTCCATCCTGATTCAGAAGCTGGACTTGGAAGTCCGTTTTTTGGTACTGGCTTTTTGACATGGCCTGATATGACTGTCGAAACCCCAAGCATTGAACTACCTAAAATTTCTAAACCTGAGAATCCACCCTAAACTGGTGAGTGAAACGGTCCTGCACTAAATCTGCAATCTCCTTCACCACCACCCTTGCCTTCCAATGACCTCGAAGTGGTTTTTATGTTGCCCTTGGCCAAGGAATTGCAGGTGTATCTGCCTCTACATCGTATTCTTGGAGCTACCAATCTATAAGCCTTTGCAATGCTGTATGGCCGCGCAGCAAAGACCAGCCATCGGTTCACGGTTAGACAAGTGGGTGGGAACAATCAGGATGCTTGCCTTCATTCGCCCATTTGCCCCAATTAGCAAGCAGGCTTCCAAAAGCAGTAAAGCTGCCTTAGTAAGGCTCCTATCATATGTCATACTCACTAAGCTCTGCCTCTACTCATTCGGCCATGAATCAAGCCCACTAGCATGCTGCATTGCTCAGCCTGCGCAGGCGCGTTGAGACAGCTGAAGCGGGTGCGTAAGGAGGCCTCGTGAGCATGTTATTACTATTATTGTTACAATTATTATTGTTAATCTTCATTAATATTATCAATTTTAGTATAACTGTTATTAGTTGCGGGCCAAAAGTCGGCATATTTGTGGCTTACGCGGCCTCTAAATTCTCGA